TATAGATACATACACTATATTAACCAACCTGCAATATTATACGCGTGCTTAGCATAAACTTTTTGAGAATTTTTTTCTATGAGTGCAAATATAGATGTACTAACTTTTTTAGGTCATTTTTAGTGACCAGCCATCTCAAATCGGTTTAGGTTACGTTTATTAAGTGCGAAGGCAAAAGTGTCTCTGTTTATGAGGCGCTTACTAAAAATAACCTAAAATGATTGAACTCGGTCGAAACGGTTAAGACTGACCTATGAGTTAAGATGGCTGTGTAGAGGTGTGGTGAACTGACATTTCATCATAGTATAGTGGTTGTTTCTTCAATGTAGGTGTTCTTACATGGTCTGCAGTACGTCCAGATTAGTTAGAATGGCTTCGCCGCCTTATCCTACCGTACCTGAAATCACTATTATAATTGAAATAATACATATTTGAAAATGACCAGACTAAATTATTTCCAAAATATTATTTAGGGAAATATGTTAACATATATGTGAGGATAAACTAAAGATAAAAAAATAATAGGTAACAGGATGTAATAGTTTTATTGAAAAGTAAGAAGCAGGTGAATGGACCTTCAAGTTTCTTATTAAACTGAAAAGAAAAGCTTCAAGACTATTTTATACTACATAGGCCAAACCGTGTCTGAAGCCACCGTAGAGAGTTACGTATGAGTAAATTTATTCCGAAAGGAAAAGGACCAAGCAATTGACATGTAACTTAGATGACATTTGTATATCAAGGTTGTATGAGCAGACACCGTTTCCGCTGTCAAGATCAGGCAACTAATGAGATGGCTAGGCCTCTGAAGACCGTGTATTTTTTCCGTTTGCTATTGAGGTCTACTCTAGAGGCCCATTCATGTGGTACAATCTAAGCTAAAAAATATACGATAGTCACAAACAAACTCCAACTATAGGGAAAAGAATGCAATCCATATATGCGCAGCAAGAACAAACCTTTTTGGTCCCTAGCAATTTGCTATACGACAATGTGATGAATCTTCTTTTTTACATGGTCAACCTGGCATGCTTCTGCCCTACCTGCAGGGTCAATGCGTTCACAAACAAGACTACATAAGCCAGGTGTATGTATATTGTAAAGGTTGATTTGGCTTGAATTCGCCAATGAAGTATGTGATGCCTGAAACGAACCTTTTAGGCTCCATGAGTATAGAATGGACCGATGGAAGAGTTTTGTCAAACTAAAGTACCAAACAAAGGAATCAACGTGGAATAATTTGGTTCTTCATCAAATTTCATGCTGACAGCAGTCTATAAACTGGTTGAGCAGTTGAGGAAACATGCCGCAAAGGGTCTCAGGTGAGGTACTCATCTTTCTCTCGCACACCAAAATGAATTATTGGTAGCTTGTAAACACAATGCACCAAAAAGAAGATATATGGTCAAACAAGACTATTCAAGAAAAGGTTGCTACGAATGGAGAAAAAGATTAAAAGATTATACAATATAAGATACCTGGTATCCCTGACATGGCAGCCTGTTGGGAAACATCAGCGACAGAAATAGAAACAACGATGGAAAGGATGATGCCTCTGTACATGGCAACCTGCTGGAAAAATGCAGGGCAGAAATAGCATCGGCGATGGAAAGGATGGCTCTGCACATTTTTTTTGACAACAAATGCAGAGCAACAACAAAGGAAATAGAAATAGCTGAAGGCCAACCATTAGGTCCATAAGAACAAGAGGTGAAAATAAATCAATCAAAGAATGAAATAAACAGTAGACCCAAAAACTGAATATAGCCACCAAACTGTTAGGATACTAATCAAATATCTGATATGCATATTCTCAACAGGCATAACTAAACAATCTGCTAGAATAGGTACCTCATATTTTTTTTCATCAAAACAAAAGGGCATCAATGGTACATAATTGGAAGGCCTTTTTATCACCATACAATCTTGTACGCACATGTGTGAGAAATTTATGTATAAGCAGAATCAAAATTTTCATGTAATAGTTTTAATGAAGCACAAACCAAAGTGTACTCAGAACAAAATGAATATGGAGAACCAAAAAAGTGATCACCGACAACCAAAGCATGCGACAATTTAATCTCCGGGAATAGGGCATGTGCTCAGAACCAACGGTGTATAATCTATGGAGACAAACGATGTTCACAGACAATGATCACAGGCATACAATGAAGAGGAATATCTCTGACTTCCTAGGCAATAAACAGGAGCTCAGATTGAGCAACCATATGTGTTTTGACATCACAGACAATGATAATAAGCAAGCATGACTACAAAACCAAAGGCAATGATTACATTAGACAAAAGGAGAAAGCATCAGAGGCAATGACATCACAAGCTGTGCATTTCAGTGGGGGTTCCGTCAAGGAGACGGCATCCACATTAGGCACCCACCTCAGTTATCGCTTAACAGGCAGAAAAGAGATGAAAAAAGCAAAATCAACACCGCTCGTGATCATTGCCTCAGTTATCAACATAGTAGGTAGATGTAAAGGAAGAATCATCATAGCTCCTGAACATTGCCTGAGTTACCAGGGAAAAAGAAAGAGATGTAAACTGTGTAACGACAGCATACGATCACTGCAAATTAGACATTAAACATGGATTACGATGCAATCATCACAGCAGTAGCCCATTCCCTCAAACTAAACTGTAACAAGAAAAAAGTTAGTCATCATTGCAGGTGATCAAGATGCAAACAATAGACCCAAAATCATCAGGGATGCACACCAAGAAACCAAACAAATATCGTTGACATGGCCACGTGCTCAGTTGTATGGCACAACAATGCCTGCTGTCAAGATCCAATAGAACCTAGCAGGCCACACCCTCAGAACGCAAAATAAAAGTAGTAGTAAGCTAGGGTTTCCTCCATTAGAGGCCAACAGGTCACCCACACGTAGATCGGCGTCCACAGCAAAGGGGAGCGAGCCTCCGCGAGCGCTGGGAGAGGAAGATCCCGGAGGGAGAGGTACGAAGAGAGGGGGAGGAGGGACCAAACCGAGGAGAGGACGAGGCAAGGAACACCGGAGCTGTCGGGGCCATGGACGTTTCGAGGAAGAGCAGACCTGCTGACTACTATCTGTAGGGAGTTCACATGGCGGGGAGGGCCGCGCCGCCGGGCGGGCGGGCTGCCTGCCGTGCCAGCCACCGCCAGTGAGGCCCACGCCACCGGGCCCGCGCCGCAGCCATGGGCCTGCCCAGCAGGAGGTGGGGGGGGAGGGGGGGCGACCTAGCTCTGCTCTGCCAGCCGGCGTGCAGGCGCCGCCGCTGACCTCGCACGGTAGAGATGGAGGGACGGAGAGAGGGAGAAAGGGGAGAAGAGACGGAGTAGACGAGGAGACGCTTGGAGAAGGCAGATATTTTTGTACGGACTAGAGAACTGGGGCTACTAACAGATCTGGACATCCAAGCTGCGATCAAACGGACCAAAATAATTTTGCTACCGTGGACGGCCTAAGCATCGGCTAAACTAACCTGCTTTGATAAGAGTATATACTCTCCTAACGGGCTTCTCTACGTCCATTCAAATTGATGACTTCAAATCCTTATAGTTTGAGGTACGTCTTCTGCTTGGCTATTCTTAATATAGTTCGTACTCCATTCGTCTAAAAAAATAATGTGTTGAAAAATCGAACGGGTTTACATTTGACTAAATATATATTTAAAAACACTTATATTTATGATATTGAATTGTTCCTAAAAAAATATTTATGATATTGAATTAGTATCATTAGATTAAACATGTAACATATTTTTATAGTATATCTATCTGAGTCACAAATGTTAATGGTAATTTAATTCTCAAAAAAAATGTTAATGGTAATTTTCTCAAAACTTAGAGCATCTCCAAGGGTACTCAATATTTTCTTCAAAAAAACATTTACAACTCCTAAAAAAACTATTGAAAGGAATAAAGAAGATCATCTCCAAAAATTTCTAATAATCCACTCCTAAAATATAGAAGATAATTTTACATCAGAAATCGTATACTATTTTTAAATTATTCTAACCACTTTTATATATTCTTTCTTTCTTGTACATTTACATCAGGAACCCTTTTCTACTCTTTATTCTTTTCACGTCCTTCCACCTCTAGATTGCCCGACAAACACGCACGGGGAGAAAAGATACGCTCGACTCGGAAGCACGTAAGGATCATGGTGATTTTTTTCAAGTTCTAAAAGATTAGAATGATGGATTAAGAGTTGTTAGAGAGAGGTTTTTTCTCATCTTGCTAAAAATCAAGGATTAGGAATGGATTTAGGAAACTCTTGGAGATGCTCTTAGTTAAACTTATTTTAAATTCATAATTGCATCAGACAGAAGGAGTAAGGTCATACCCCAAAATGCAGGATATGCCTCATTCGTTCTTTAGGTAGCGCTACAGGCAAAAGGTTCAATAACTATTCGGCATCTTCTCCAACAATAAGACCCAAAAGAGAATCCTTTGTGTAAATGGGTTTCCAGAAGAGAGGATGCCCATATTTGGGTTGTGCCTCTCAGGCAACCCAAAATAGGTCTCTCGTATAGGTACTCTGTTGGAGGCTGATTTTGGATCTCTTACTACTTATTTTTGGTTTAGATGTCCATATAGGTTCCTTGTTGGAGACAGTCTAACTAGCACAACATATTGTATACCAAAGTGTTTCCTCTTTTCTTTGAAACAAATGGGTATACAAAAAGTCTTTTCTTCTCTGTCATGGTGCTGCCGTTGTCAAACAGATGACAAATATGATTGCGACAATTCATGAATGAACTATGATAAGAGCACCGGAATAAACTGAAGAAAGTAAACACTTCACGCACGAGCACGATATGGATCTAGAATATACAGACACAGTAAACCTACTATCAATGTATACGCCAGTCCAGATGACAGATTACACAAATCATACAGACATCAGACAGAAGGCAATAACACATGAAGCACGAAATTCCTCTTCTCTAAAATTTACAACAAACTACATTTCCAATGCATTGGACCAGCAGGGTCAGCCTCAGCCCCTACCGCAGTTGAGTGATCGGAATGAGAAGAATGATCGATGTACTACAATAGCAAAAACCAGAAAGCATTGATTGAATGGAAATTATGGAATAGCAAAATCAGAATGAACTATACGGCGAACGGCGTGCACGTCAAGACAATACTTACAGGAAACACAAGTTAGCATATTTACCTTTTGGTGATTTCTGCTGTGGAACTATCTCAGCTAGCTCAGACTTTGCAGGAGAGGCAGCTACAAGGCTTTGCAGAGAGCAAGCTGTTGAAGTATATCGAGCCGTTCAGTTGTTAGTGTCATCTCATAGGTTAACACCCTATTCGCTTGGGATCGTTTATGTGGCTTATAAGCCTGGTGCTGTTTTGTTGTGGGAGAAAAATATTATATCATGGCTAATAAGTATGACTGATACGGTCAAGCGAACATGGTGTAAAAAGAGCACATATTATGAAGTATAACAAGCATGTAAAAAGAATTCTTGAAAACACAAAAGAATTGCGCCTCTGCCTCTTTGTATTAAACATGTAGAGTTGTATAGAAATTTTAGGAACACTTAATTCTTTCTAGAAACAAAAATATGAATGTCAAATGGATGGCACGAATGAATTTGAGAAGAAAGGAGTACCTTGTGGAGATACCGGATAGCCATGGTCCGTATCATCAGAGGCAGCATCTGAGGAGCCCATCCTGGGCTTGATGGACCCACCAGTGGACTGCCACCTGCCGCTGTCGTCGTCGGCCGGCGAGGGCACGGACGGCGACGTGCAGTCGAGGACAGTGGCCTCCCTCCCTCTGTGCTTCTTCCCGAAGCTCAGGAGCCTCTTGAACCCCCTCACCGTCGTCTCTCTCGGGGACCGCGCCGTGCCGGAGAACCTGCTGCTGCCCGCGCTGCCCGGCGGCGTCCTCGGTGCCGGTGCTGCGCTCTTCTCGGCACGCTCCTCGCGCTTTTTCCGCACGAGGGCGGCGTCCGCCTCTAGCAGCCTCTCGATGGACTGGTCCCGCGAGCTGCACGACGACCGCGCGCTCGGCCCTGACGACCTGACGGACAGAGAGGACTCGTCGGAGCTCTCCCTTGCCGGCGCTTCTTCGGCGTTCGTCGTCGAGATCTCTGCTGCAGCCGCGGTGGCTTCGGCTGGTGCTGGTGCCGCCGGCGTCTCCTCGCTTGCCTTCACGTCGGTATCTAGCGCGGCATCCGGACCGGGCAATTTCGAAGGTTCAGAGAGCGCCATGGCTTGCTGCTCCTCGGCGGCGTCCTTGTTGATGTAGACGTAGCTCGGTTCGGGTTCCGAGTCACTAGTTACCTCCCCGTCGGCGTCGACCTTCTCTTCGCCGTGTTCCTCGACACCAGCGTTCTTCGCCTCAGGTTCGCCGTGTGGCACGGCTTCGTCCACCGCTCCGCGATCTGGCTCCGGCGAGGTGGCTCGCGCATTCGCTGCACCGGTGCCGATGACGCCGCTACTGTCGTCCTCGTCCCTGCCGGAAAACGACGACATCCTCGGCGGAGAAGCCCCGGGGGTTCCGCTAGGGGCAGCACACTCGGTCGAACGGGTCGGAACGGGCGGCGCACCGGCATCGGCGTTCGCCTGAACCGCCGCCGGCGCCACACCCCTGCCGAGCTCCTCGGGTCCGCTGGGGCTATCCCGTTGGGGCAGAGACCGCGGGAGCTTCGAGCCCGCCGCCGCCTGCTTCGCGGACCCGTGCCCTTTCACGGATGAGTTTCTGCGCCGCAAAGACGTCCTGGGTCTCGTCGTGGCTGTGGTCGTTGCCGCCGCGCCGCCGGGGCTTTCCTTCTTCGCTTCCCCGCTGGAGGCGTCCGGCTCTGACGGTGGTGGTTCCTGCGACAGCGCCCGCCGCCACCCGACGTCGGTGCGGTTCCTGCTCGTGGTCATGGACGACGAGAAGCTCCTGGTCCGCGCGTGCTTCTTGCCGGTGATCCTCCTCGGAGCAAGAGCCGCGTCCGACGAGCTTCTCCTCCTGTCGTCGTCGTTCCGCTCAGTTTTCCTCTGCACGATTGCACAGTGATACATCTAGTAAGAACAGAACGTACGGACACCAGCTTGAATTTGAAGTGAGAATTCAAATAATCCACTAGTAATTTGTACTTCCCGTATCTATGGACCAAACAGAGAACAGGCCTCAAATCAAATATGTCCTTTTCTATGTACAAAGTCACTTCAAAAAATGGATGAACCATTGATCTTGATTTGATGGATAAAATGACACACAGGTTGTTTCAGGTTGCTCAAAAGAGCAATTCCTAAAGGCTCTTTATATCATTTCATATGAATAGGGAAATGTGAATTTTAGTGAAAAAATCCCTCTAACGACTTCTTTAATAAAATTTCTAAATGTTTTCACCTTTCTATTCCCGGTTTCTCGCTGCTCACCAAAGATAGACAATAGAGCTGGTTCTCCAAAGCGCCGAACAAGGTATAGAGAAATTGTTGAAGGATGAAAAAATACGTAGAAAAATTATTATGGCTGCGTTCGGCTGACATGAAAACACTGTAGCGACATGAAAAGTTACTGTTCATTGATGAATTTGTGAGAGAAAACACTGTTCCAGATGAAAAAAAGAAGCGGATCAAAGCCGGTTTCATGTCAGCCGAACGCAGCCTGTAACAACTCTCTAATTGACGATTTAGAGAGTGGATACATCGCTATTTTTTATTAAAACTAGAGAATACAATTGCTTTGCTCCAAATTTTCCCCCTTTTTCCACCTCTTTTATAAATTCAAAAGGTTACTATACTTATGTAACATCTCTGGTGTTACGAGCTCTCTTAACACTGAGATTATGGCCTGAGAGATAGATATATAAATATAGTGAGTTAGTTACGTAAATGCCTATATGTGTTAATGAAAAATCCTAACGCGAAAAGTAGAATAAATAGTTCTAAACATTGGCACGGAAGTAATTTTTATAAATAAAATAAATATAACTTGTATTTAGTACTTGAATAAAATTTGGAGCGCAAGTTTAATAGATGAAAATGCAGCTCTTGTTTTGGTGAATAAAAGTTGTTCAATAGTATATCTGATAGCTCAGAAACCAAATCCGGCATTTAAACTAAACCTTTTGTGAATCGGCATGAAGTTAAAATTATAGTTAGAATGCTATTTTTTACTATTTATATTAAGCAAAATAATTAAGAGATGTTCAAATGTTTTGCCCCTGTGGGTTAGTATGGAGTATGGGCTATGTCATGCTATGTTTGTTAGTTGAAATTGTCGAGGTTTAGACCTTGCAAAAATTACGACAAAGTGCTTAGAAATGTTAGTTCTAACTAAAACCTTGAATTCTTTTAAATGTGAAATGATAGTAGACAATGTCATTTTGGTAATTAATCTATGAAAAAATTTAGTGGTTTGCACCAAAGTGACTACTTTGCGATGATGCGATGGTTAGTGTTGTTAGAGCTTGGTTTAGCTATAAAAAATGTGTTTAAGTACCTAAAATGTGCTAGGTTTGGCAGTTGAGCTCTTGGGGCGTGGTCACCGCGCCCATGTTGTCGCGTGGACCGCGCAGCGGGTCGGTCTGCTGGCCATCCGTCGCGTTGGCCGGTCCCGGCCTAGCTGCGGTCTGGCGGGTCGTGTGCTGCTATCGCGCTCGGCTGCTCCACTGCTCGGCCTCGCCCCGCCCTATTGCATGCGATCACAGCCGCTTGTCACACCTACCCCCTTCTAGCTCCTATGTCTGGCTTAAGGACAAGGTGAGCCCATGCACGGCTCCTTGCTCGCTCTCACGCTCCTCTATCCAGCCTCTCTCTCTGGCTGCTGCTCGACGTGGCATTTCCTTAGCCGTTCATCCCACCTACTCGAGCTGTGGCGGCCGCATACTGCCTTCGCCCCTGCTCTCTCTCTCTCTCTCTCTCTCTCTCTCTCTCTCTCTCTCTCTCTTTTGCTCCTGTCCTGTGTCCTTTCCACGATGCCTGTCTGCTGTCTTGTGCGCCATTAAACCGAGGCCAAGCTGCTGTTGCCACGTACTGCCCTCTTCCACCCTCCTGCTCCCCCTCTCGGGCCTCGATCTCTCGCCCTTGTTGCTCATCGTAGGTGCATCCGCCATGGATGCCGACACTGTCTTGTTCAGTACGTCCCGTCAGTCAGTGTGTGTGCATTGCTGCTGACCCAGCAGTACCGTCCGTCCGTCTGCCACGTGTTCTTTTGCTTGACCCTTTGACCGCCGCCTTCTTCCCCACCCTAGCCACCCGCCTTGCACGAGTCCCTGCAGCTAGCCTCCCCGCCGCCGCCGGCTGCCTTCTTTGGAGCCGCGTCAAGTGGCCTCTGCGCTGCGCTGTCGTCGTGCGTGGTGTGCCCACCACAAGCAAGCACTGCATGGTCACTCCATGAAAGCAAAGAAGATGCTTGGCTATCATGAGGCTCGCGCTCACGTGTCTCCCTCCGCCGCCACGACCTCCCTTGGCCGAAGATCGAGCGCCCCTCATGTGCCTACGGTTCTGTTACGAGCAGAGAAGAAGAATGGTGAGAAAATTAGAATAGAAACTTTTCTAGGGTTCCTAATGCAAAACCGTGACTCACATGAATAGTGATGCATAGTGCCTAAAGTACTACGGGTTGATTTGAGAAAAGCTTAGGGGTCTCTTCAAAAGCGTCGGCGCCTCCCTGGTTGGGCCGCGCGTGGGCCGGCCGCTTCCGGCTGGGCTAGGCTACCTTGCCCGCTGGACCAGGTCGAACTGGGCCACTTCGTGCCCAAGGACCCTTTTCCTTTTTCAGTGTTTTGTTAATTTCAGTAATCGGCTGAATGCTTGAAAATTCATAGTAATTAGTAGAAAAAATCATAAAAAGGAAAATGAATATGTTTTGAAATCCTTGTTACTAGCTCTATGCAGTAGACATATTATGTCATATGCTTTAGTGTAAAGTTTTTGGTTGTTTGTGCAATCTAGCCTTAATGTTTATTTAATAAAGCATGTAGTATTAGTCCAAATGTAGTGAAATTTTTATGGTAGACTAGTGTTGATGTGTTTGTGCTATGGTAAAAGTTTTAGGTTTAGTGGATGCTTAATTACTGAGTTATTGATTAATCTCATAATATGCTTCTTTAGTGGTTTTTAAATTATTAAAAGAAGATAAAATAGAAAATGTGGCTCTGCTATAAAATTTTACTATTGATGTGTTTTATTAACCCATAATAGGGCTCTAGCGTTTAATAAAATGTTATTGTATAAGTTTCATGATGCCATGTGTTATGGATTTTAATTTCACGTTGCATGCGATTAAGCTTTTATATATACTAGGTGTTTAGAATAATGTTAATAATTGCTTTATATGCTACCTGCTTACATGTTGCCTGAGTAATGTTGCTTTACTTTGTTAGTAAGTAGAAGTGTGCTTGGCATGTTATGGTAGCTCTCGCTTGTATGTATAAATGCAAAGTGGTGATTTTAATAACTTGTGATGGTTTGATAATAGTTAAGTCACAAGAAAGTCGTTTGGGAGAAGATGAGAGTTGAATCTAGAACGTTTTATACCCTAGTTTAACCACGGTGACGTGTTGCTTGTCCTTTCGTGCTTGTAAGTATCTTTGTGTATGCCTGTTTGACTTAAGCATGCATTGCATTTATGCATATTATTTAGGAATGATGATGGATCGTGGTATCAAACGGAGTAGCTGAAAAGATGGTGTCGGGGATCAAGTCACAAAGATAGAATACTTACTTTTGGTTATATGTTGTCCAGGCAAGCCCCGGTGCATAACCCCTCTTATTCTGCACTTTATATTATGTTTGTGCATTAAGTTTTAAGGAGTTCAATGAAACCCACTTGCATATATATATATCCTATGAGTCTTACTAGTATGATAGGATCGTGTAGATTGCTATGCTACAGAACTCCGATAAAAGTCGAGTGATTGCCTGTCACTCGCGAGAGATAGGAAATATATTATTATTGCTACTATATTATTATCATCTAGAAAATACATATGAATGATAATTGGAGACCGGGCGGAATGATATTTTGGATCTGGACTTAGTTTGGCATTTGAGCGAGGCTCGGGTTGCACTTGTTCCGCCTGTGTCGGTTAAGGACCGGTCGTTGCAATGGATGGTAGTCAGGTCACAGACTTATTATCCTGAACACATACTTGTGTATGGGCGTGGGAAGGCTCATTGCTCTCTTGTCATGGATTCCGGCTCTTTCTAGACCGACTGATTAGAGGCGGGGATGGTGGAGGTCTAAGCACCGCACTGAGTCCAGGACTCATGAGCGGGGGCTTAGAGTCCAAGTTTGGACGGGGACCTAGACCCCGTGACAGGAGGGTAGTGGGTTGGTCTTGCTTGTAACTGGGGTACAAGCGGGGCGTGTGTTTTAGGGTACCTAGCTGGGATACATTAGTTCACGAATAGCCGGATGATCCGGTACGACTTGTCTATAGTCTAGCACCGTAGTAAGAATTGAAACTTGAAAAGGATAAAATAGTTCTGATTACTTACCACCTGCTTGAAAGTAGCACAGGTGCTTACATAGAATGGTTAGATAAATGAACTAATCATGACTGCTAATAAAGTGAATATAAGGATGCACTTTTAGTAATGCTTCCTGCAGATGCAATAAACCCACAAGCCAGTTAGCATTGTATATTCTTGGAGTCTTTTCTTTTCTCCTGACGAGTAAGTCTTGCGGAGTACAATTGAGTACTCAGGGTTTATTCTACCCTGTTGTAGGTGACAGGAACATAAGAAACTAACACTTGTGTGTGGGAACCTCCTGGTGGGCTCAGCGAGGATTTCCTTAACGTTGCGGATATATAGTTTATTTGAAACTTCCACCCAAAATGTTTTACAATAGAAAAACTTATAACCTTCTATGATGTATATAACGGATCATCATGTTAATGTTTAACTTGTCATTAAATGATTTTATTTTCGCTAAGACTCTAATAACATGTTTATATTATGCTGTTATAAACAATAAATATTATACTCTGATGTTGAACGAAAAGTGATGTAAGAAATGGCTTAAGAATGTTGTAAGCTTTATT